GTGTTTTTCTTGTTAGTCGGTGAACAAAAAGACACATCAAGGAGCGTGTCACAGGGGAGCAGATTACTGTAGGCCAGGTGAGCAGAGGTCAGAGCATCCTGATGGGGCGATGGAGCACCGAGGGTGTAGGATATGTAATAGAGGCACGGCGGTTAAACGCCGGGGTGGGCCGTGAGATCTAGAGGGAGTAGGACGTGGGCCACATCACCTCAGGCATCTCCTGAACGCGCGTGATTGATGGGGAAGAGCTGACGAGCCAAGCTCCCAATGTCACTCTCCAATTAAATAACTCTCACCGCTGAACTACTCCCCCGCGCCCCCCTCCTCCTGCGATAAACCTCCCTTTTCTCCTCCCTTTCACCTCTTCCTCTATTATCACACCCCCCCTCTCTCCCGCTGCACTCTGTCCCTCTACATCCTTTAAGTTGACTTCTTGATCAGTCCAGCTATTTCCTCTTCTTGGTATTATCCAACCTTAAATTCCCTTCCTTTTCTGCCTTTCCATTTGTCTCCAACAACATTAGTCTTCATCGTTTCCCAGCACACTTTATAGTTACTTATTTATATATCTTTTTTTTTACTTGTTCTGTCTCAGATTTAGACTTTGCTAACTGCTCTTCCAGGTATGACAGACAGAGGCTGCTCTTTCTATTAGTTTGGGTCAGTGCTCCCTTCCTAAATGACTGAGCAGATGAGACAAAAGAGGGTGCACCATGGTAATGTGCCGTCTCCAAAATGCAAATAGCATGGATAAAAATGCAAAGAGTGTAATCCATTTGTTACTAATGTCCAATCTCTGTTTATAATTCGAAATGCAATGTGAAAACTGGTGCACAATCTTTTGAAAAAAGAAAAGAGTAAGTGTAAACCACCTGCTTCAAAACAAATACCAAAGTCCAAACACTGCCTAGGCTCGAGGAGAATTTGTTTTGCAAATGCATGCGTTATTATCTGGAAGGGCTGGCACATATAGTGTGTTTACTGTCACTAATTAGGATCGTAACTAATACTGGTTGGTCTCAGAGTTCTGTGACTGTAGAGGTGCCGTAGTTTAAGAGAGGCCAGCCTTATGCTGCATTCTTCTGTCACCACAGGAGCTCAGTTTGCTGCTAATTGGGCGAAAAACAAAACTCCGGGAGCACAAATGTGGAACTTCTGAAAAAAAAAAAAAGCGTACTGAATAAACATTGTGTTTTAAAAGTGTGAATTATTCTGGGGGAAAAAGAGAAATATGTACTTGTGCCTAAGTGCAAAATTTCCCAAAATTAAAAATGAGAGAGTTCTTTTAAACATGTGGTAACTCGCAAGATTTAATTAATTCTCAAGGTGAGGGGAGATGCTAAATTCCTCTCGCTGGTTGAAGGTGTCAATAATTTTGTATTGATTTTCCTTTCACTAGCAAGGCAATCATTTCACAGTACGCATGCCATCTGCTGCCAAAAACTTGGCAGGTTTGAATTTTGGTTCTTCGTCCGGTTTGCCAAAAACGCTGCGTGTGTCTCTGGCTCCCTCCTTGCCAACTTATTTTGGTCAAACTCTTTCGATAGGCTCCCTCCACTCCAGTCAGCGAGCATTTGGCTCAGATGAGAGCGTTTCCTGTCTCGCCCGGTGTTCCGATTCCCTCGTTGCCTTATGTTAAGAGAAATATAGATACGTACCCAAAACCCTGCAGCTGGGGTTCCCTGCACAGAGTCAGCACTGCGCAGGAGAGAGAGAGTGAGAGAGTGAGAGTAAGAGAGGGGGAGAGAGAGAGTTGGAGAGCGAGAGAGAAAGAATCAGACTTGCTACATCCCTGCCAAGGGTGAGCATTTACGCGCGATCCGGTAGCCGATCTCCAGCAGCCGTGCACCGCCATCAGGACTAATTTCATCATGAAAACTTTCAAACTCTTTATTTTGACATAAGCCGTTTTTTTCTGCGTGTGCTGGAGAGAAGAAGCCCAACTTCTACCACGGCACACCATCCGTGTCGCGGTGAAGTTATTCCATCTTCTTTGGGTGAGTAATTTTAATAGATTTCACAGCTGCATTCATGTTTCGAGTTTTTTCTTTCTTTCATTCCCACATTTTTTTTGTTAATGTATGCGCTACTAGGGCTTTGCTTTGCATTTTTTGTCCCGTCGCTTATTCTGTGATTAGTATTCCGTGGACACGGATTTCCTGCGGCGGTCGCTCACAGAGATGTTTACTGTCGGCGCTTTCGTGCTGCCCGTTTCCCATCATGTGCTCATTTGCCACCACTCTCCGTCCTCTCCTGCTTGATTTCTCCAAACCCTGAAGTTGTCAAGATGTTCACTCGATCTTTTCCTTTTTCTTCTTCTTTAAATTATCAAAACGCCGCTAGGTCGATTAGGGAACAGGTGCGCCGTGCGAACTTTTTTTGCATCTTGCAGGTGTTGGCAGCCAATGCGCAATTATTGATACTTAACAGCAGGGTCAAAGAAACCAGGTCGCCTGACTGTGCAAACCTGACCAGAACAAAAGGCATAGAGAGGGATACCTGCTGATTTACACCGCAAAGGGTCACTCAGTATAGAAATGAGCTGCAAAATCTCATTTCCCCCCCCTCCATCAACCTACATAAAGGAAAAAATGCCCGAAGCTTTAAAAATGAACTTATTTTCAATCATATTAGGAATTAAGACTTTTCTAAAATGAAAAGATTTGCCCTATTTGAGGCTGAGATACCCCCACATGCTTCGAGGAAATTCATGAAACTAATAACTGCAGTGGGAATAAGCGGAACCATACCAGAAATTGGCACAGCGTTCCACTTATTTAAGGACAAAAATGACATTTTGAATCAATATACAATAAAATGACTCACTGAGATGGTACTCCCCCCCCCAAGTGTCTGTTTAGTTTCCAACAAAATGCCTCAAACTATCTGTGCAAATTGGTTCACTCGTGTTACTTTTATTTTTGTCCTGCATGCCACATAGTCGCCATAGTGAGAGGAATGAATATACAGTTCATCAGCTGCTTGATTTATTATGTTTATTAATTCGGTGCAAGCAATTAAAGATATGATTGTTTTGTGCGTGTGAAACTGAAGGTCAGCATTTTCACTTCTTTTAGAACACTGTCCTAGAAATACCTACACAAACCTTAATAAAAAAACAGGTGGCTTTGCTTTCTTACAGGGAAATGAATAACAGAGAGTTTTGATTTAACATTGTTCCACTTGCTGTTTGGTAGACAAACAGTGATTCATTCTGCAAGTCTGACATTATTTTCAGAAGTGCTTTAATATAGGTGAAAAAGGAGATTGTCTTATTCCTGGCCCTGAGCACATCCATCTACATCTTGACATCTTTTTCCGTGCAGCATATGAAGCATACAATGTCAGTCAGCTTCTTCCAGTGCAGGATGCCAGGTGAATTTAAATGAATGCGAGATGAGATGTTAGAAATCAGCGTGAGGGACGACCACCTTTCAACCGGAGAGCTCGGGTTCAAGCTCCTGCGTCAGCAAGAGTCTGATCTGTGTGCACTGTAAATATCCTTGAAGACCCGTCAGGTATATGGCCACTGTTGCTCTGCAGCTGACCCTGTGCTCTGATTTCTTTATAAAAAGACAAGCAAGGAGAGAAGGTCTAAGAAAAATCAATGAAATGTCATGCTACTATTATTTATATGAAAACTGCTCACATACAGCTCCTTTTTTATTACAAACAGACCTTTAAATGTCACAAAACACACAAAAAGGCTAGATCTATAAGTTATCCAGCGAATATACTGTACACCTATCAGCCACAGCATTAAAATCACCTTCTCAATATTATGTAGGTTCAAGTCATGCTGCCAAAACCTCCCCCCCTCTCAAAAAAAACGAAAAAAGAAACTGCTCTGACCCATCCCACCATGTCCATAAAACCTCTGGGGGCGTCCTCTCATGTCTGGCACCATGATGTTGGCAGCAGATGCTTTGTGGGTTTTGGTGTGTGGTCCAAATGGTTCCTAATTTATATATTTTTTTCCTTTCTTGTAGTTTCTTGAAATTGGGATCTGTGGAAACTGAAATATGAGTTTAAAACCGTCATCTTCAGCTGCTGTTGAGAGCCAGCTGTTGTTGGGTGGTACCATTGCCATCGTGGGGGGTGGGATGGAGGTGGGAGTCTGCAAAATTGTTTAGTTGATGGGGTGGTGTACAGGCCAGACATACACATGAATCACAGGACCCAAGGATTCCTAGAAGTCAAATGGATCGATCTTATTAAATTTACCTATCCAGTAGTTTTAATTGCGGCCGTATGCTTGTATGACACGGGAATCTGTCTTTGTGAAGTGTCCCAAACCATAATTGACTTAGGTTCACAGAAGTTTGTGTAGCGTGATCTGCCCCCCGGGGAGAAGACACTGCACGTTCCCAATGATGGAGGAGAATATGGATCAGGGGAAGCGTGTGACTGGTTACTGAGCGCTGTAGCACTGGTAATCCTGTTGTGAGACTGGCAAATGGGATTAGAGGACTGTGTGTAAGAGAAACAGAAGCGAGGGATGACCGGGAGGCTTTACATTCATGGCTTTATCTCACATTTTCACTTCATTTAAAGTCATCGCGTTGACAACGGCCAACCAAGAGTCGGCTTCTTCACAGGCAATCCTGTGTGTGCTTTGACCATTTTGAAAGCCTGATGTTGCTAGACTGAGTGAGTCAACTTTGTGATTATATCTGAATATTTTTAAAGCAAAAGAAAGAGGTTTTTTTTCTGCATCGTTGAAAACTAACTGAAGCATTTAAGGGATATGGCACCAAACATTGTGAGGGCTTTCAAGCAGGATGACCCACCGTGTTTTTTTCAAAAAGAAGAAAAAAATGCTTTTAAATGAATAATAATGGGCAGCCTGCTATACTGAAGGTAAAGTGCCTGTGTGGTTTCCCAACTGTGCCAGTCTCTGTGTCCCTTTGCTTTATAGTATTCCTCCAGTGTTTGGTTCCACCAGCTTACTTACTAGGAGACAAAGCATTTGCCAGTTTTTTCTCTGTTGTTATACCATCATTGAGCCCCCCCCCCCCACAAAACTTAAAGCCAACTTGACATCAGCAGAAAAAAAAGAAAGAAAGACCAGTCTCTGTTTGCCAGTAGTGAATTCATTTCAATCATTTTCAATTGATATAATACGCTTTAATTCTTTAAAATGATGAACAGCTTAACTGCATTGGGAAAAAATTGATTTCTCCTACTGCATGAGTTGGCTAATAACTTAAAATCAAACAGACAGTAAATCAACAGAAACTCATTAACTAAAAAGCCAATATCTGCTTTACTGAACCCACAGTTGCACCCACAGCTGCATCAGTGTTATCTCCAGCCTCCCGTCTTTTCGTGTTCGGGATTTCGCAAAATGAGAAGCATTAACTTGGCCGCTCGGCTCACACTGACCCTGTGCCGATATTCTCTCCTACAATACCACGGCTGCAACCTGCCTTCACAACTCGTGCTGCCCTGCAGCCAGATCTGCTCCACTTTCTACCTCTACCATTAAATTGTCATGTAGAGGCAGTGACTTTGAATCTGTGTATTAATGCATATGCACACATTACAGATTTAGTATACGTGGGATTTTTCTGTTGTTGTGTGGTTTATTTCACATTAAAAGCAATGGCAGATCAGAATGTTATCATAGTGTTCTGGATAAAGCTGTGCCCTGTAGTGGTTTATGTGCTTCTTGCACTTTGACCAGAAATATTTATATAATATGCATTTAAAAAAAAAAGAAACCGTTTCAGATGCTTTTAGAAAAATAAAAACGTGTTGAGGATGCTCCTCACATACAGCATACACATACGTGTCTGCAGAGGTGACAATTTCAGTATTAATTATTAGCGCTGGCTAATGACTCTGCTGTGGTGAGGTACAGCAAACGACTTCCACAGGATGTGTGGTGTGCTGTATTTATTTTGCTTGGGGGGGGCAGAGAGGAAGTAAAATGAGAACTGGAGAATCTGTGTGGGAAGACAGAGGTCACTGTATGCCAAAGCAATTACCTTCCTCATCCAGGGCCCTGCCAATGCGCTTGTAGAGGAGAGAGAAAGAGAGGTCAGTGAGGAAATAAATACATGTATGGTCAAACACTCAGTCTTCTGCACGTCTGCTTTAGAGCACCTGCTGAAGTTGAAATGGCATTCATATCGCGCCAAGTTCATACAAATGTGCCCGAAAGCGTCGCTCCCGTGAGCCTCCTTCACAAATATTTATTGAGGGAATTTGTTGAAGTCCTAGTTAGGTGTCAAATTAGACAGACAAAAGCAGCAATATTACGAAGTTTATATAATTGCTCAACCGCCAGGATGTGTTGTGACATGAAGAACATTATCTGTCAGGAGCCGACGCTTTTCTCTGCTCTGACAAGTCTTCATGTTCTGGCATCTTGGGGGATCTGTCACAGAGCGAGGATGGCAGCGAGATAGATCCCCTTGCATGTGCTCGGACCGGGCAACAGAGTGCTCGGAGTAGAGGTCAGGAGAGCCCGGGCCATCATGCTGCTGACAGCTCAGATTTATTTTTAATCCAGGCGATAAGAGCTAGCCACACAGATCATGTGGCTTGTTAGTGTTGAACGGCGAGCCCCTCCGCCATTACACTGCGATTTTACACAAAGAAAATGTGACAAAATAATGACCTTGGTGAGGGAAAAACCCAGATAATTGAGAGCCAGCTGAATGGCGTTTGATTGTTATTCCACGCAGCGGCCGTTGTTTCTTTCGGTGTGAAATCTCTTGAAAAGCCAGGTCATTTTCCCTCCATCAAAGCCTTATTAACATTTTGACCTCAACCAATTGTTCTTTGTTGTGTGTGTAGGTTACAGTGTGTACATGAAGGGCGTTACATTGATTGCGTTTAACATATTTACTGTCTGCTCATTTTTGACCAATTTCTTCATCATTGGTGAAAAATGTCATTATCATTGCATCAGCAGCCACGTTACTTGCTGCCCAAAGTGGCTGCGGTCACAAAGCAATTTTGCTGACAGTCCTTCCTCTCTCCTCTCCTCTCTGTCTTTGTCTCTTTCTTTTTTTCTCCTCTCTCTGTGTTCTGATAGGTGCCAATTATAAAGGCCCCGCATTGAAGCCTCTCCAGCCGCCAGTGACCCTGTTAGCTGGCTTTAATGTCAACGATCTGGCTCCAAAGTGGAGGGAATTACCTCACTTTTAGTCTCCAATCAGGCAAAAAAGAAGAGCAATACAGCAAAATGCAGAGCTTGACTCTTTTTCAACCCTTGTGCTCTTTTGAGGGTCTGACTGCTCTTGCTTTCTGGTGAAACACAGGGTCAGGACTGTGTGGATAAAACCCTGAGGGTTTTGACATTTCAGCTTTTCTGTCTTTTTTTTTTTTAATTTTTGCTCCTCTTCTGGCCTCAGTGCTTTTTGGAAAAGGCCCAAATGATCTGGTGGTGTTGCTCAGGCATATGCAGAGCCCTGGCTCTTCTGGCGCTCCTGTTTCCCTTGCAGGAGAGGAGCTGCTGGGGTCTCAATCCCAGCTCTGGGGATCTGGAGAAGCCTCCACACTCTGATCCAGACCCCTGGGATGTCCCGCACAGAAACAGACGCAGCTGGGTATGGAACCAGTTCTTCGTATTAGAAGAGTACACAGGAAATGAACCTCTCTACGTTGGCAAGGTAAGCGATCCATTAGCACAGTTTAGTGTGTTGTCATATGTGCAAGAAATGTGACTGAGCTGCTGTTCAAATCAGCACCTACTTGTGTTTTTTATTTATTTATCATTTTTTTGCACGTCTGCTGCACCTGCACAGTAATACACATATCAATAACTCCTTACCACAATGACCTGCAAAATCTGGGACACAGCAGGGTTTCAGAGAGTTGTACATATTCATATTGTCCTATATAAAATGCTGAACAAATGAAAACACCAAATGCAGACAGTGTGGGAGGACATTCTGCATTTTATTGCGACAAGGTTGAAGCATGTGCTTGTGGAAACACACAGTTTTAGTTTGGAGATTGACAAGGTAATTTGCATTGTAATCAGTCCCCAGAAAAAGGTATATATATTACTCAAATGTGTCTTTTTACAGTAGGTGTTTTGCCGAGGTCCAAGCAGATAGATCAAAGTAATGCCTGTTTTGGCAGGTAAATAAGTACAAAAACCTCCCAATGACATTTAAAGCAAGGCACAAATGGCATAGTTAACGCGAGGGTACACTGACAAAGTGACTAATCATGCTTTTATGAGATGTGACAACACTGCTGGTAGCATTTCCTTAGGTAAAGACCAATAGTGGTAAAAACATAGGCCGCTTAACTGAGTAATATAGCATTAAAATACGCCTATAAGAAATTTTCCAACGTTCACATTTTAAGTGCGAGACAAAACAACGCAGTGTACATAATTATGTGCAATTACAATGCAGGAAGTTATTTAGAGAAATTTAGTTTGTAGTTCATTCATCTTTAAACGGTGTGGAACTAGCCAGTAAAGGCTTTTAAAGGCACTCTGAGGACATGTTTATATGTGTAATCTCACACCTATAGTTTTTGCTTAGACGCAAGTAATTGTACTTCAATTACTGACATATCCATTAGTAAAAGCTTGATGTTTCAACTGTAATACTTTAAATTAGTTTAATACATTGCAGCATTACTGTGAATATTGAACAGGCTAATCCCTTCGAAAGGGGATGTTTAAAAAGACTTACCAAAGTATCTATGCGAGGCCTTTTCTAACTTGGCAGGGAATAGGAAGATTATCTATAAAGCACATTTTATACACAGGGGCAATTTTGAGTTTTTGACATGCATTGCTCTGAAAGAAATTCGGTGCAAAAAAAGTACAATATCCCCTGTAAGTGCAGTAGATAATAAGTAGAAGAATTAGTTTGAAAAAGAGATGTAAAATACAGTGAAAGTAGCATGAAATCGACTTATTTCTGTTGAATGGAATCACTATAGCTGAAAATGAATCATTCAAAGAGATGCAGTCAATGAAAAAGTAACATTCAAATCAACTTTAAGGGAAAGCCCCTCATAATGTATTTTATTAAGAATTTTTCATCGAGGTATAAAGAAGTAAATATACTGTATACTCTATAGGTAAAAGTTCCTGACATCTGTAGTGTAATACATTAATAAGTATCCACAGGTATTTTTAATCAAATACTAATGCTGAAGTAGCCTTCTGCAGAACCGTTAGTTTGCAGCGTGCAGAAGCATTGCTCCCCAGCTTTCAGCGCTACAGGATAAATGGACAGCTCCTGTTGGAAAATGGCTCTAGCGTGTGCAGTGCAAGCCAGATGGGTCTTGGATTGGTCTCCAGATCCCTGTTATCTTGGAGAATTTTCTGGTCTTATTATTAAATTAGTTTTCATCTTTCCGCTCGTCTGTAGGATAATCATTCTCATCTGCATGTATTTGCTAGTTCTGCTCTCACAAGCCCATTTCCTCGCTGTCTCTGAACTGGATTAGCGTCTCCAGCTGGAATTAGGATACATTTGACTGTCCTATTGTTCTCCTCTGTATTTTTTTTTTTTTTTTTGCCAGAAGGCTGCTAGAGGAAAGCATCTAAATCAGAATGAGCTTATTTGTGACACTGCTGGAGTTCAGCTAAAGGTCATTTCTTGTCCGCGGTCATCTTAAATGCAGTTTTGTCTGATCTGTGTGTCCCCAGATATCTGTTACATCTGACTACTGTGGAGAGCGTTTTTGCTTGTGAACATCTGTGCCGTGTCCTTGTCCTGCGTTGCCCATTTGAAAGTAAAAGGAGAGGTCAGCGGCGCAGTCAGGAATTTCTAGTGCCTGTTCTCTTTTACACATTCTTGTGTCTGATTGCTTTTCTTGTTAGTAAATCCCAAAGGACACGAACAGACTGATTACTTATTCATAGATGTGTTGAGATCCGCTTATTCACATGGAATATACACAAACTCATTTGCAAGTAAGCTCCTGACTAAGAGGTCCTTTTATTTTTCCATTCAAACACTGATTCATCCTTTATGGCTTTTTTCTTTTCTTTTCATTTTGTAGTTTTGTAGTAGTTCTTCTACCAATCCGATGTAAAGACAACATAGCAGCAGGCATGTAAAAAAAAACAGACTGGTTACATCTTTGCATCTGACCTCATGCCCGAGCCCGAACCCTTTGAGAAATATCAAAAATCTGATTCATTGACTCCCTGCGGGCAGAACAGGCTGCCTGGGAGCTTGAGAAGCTGTCACATTATTTGTTCCCTGAGATCATAGTTGTCACGTAGTGTGTGTTTGTTTGATGTCGCAAGGGCACACTGCTGCTGTAAAAAAGCGTGGGTGGGACACCCTGACCTTGTGACTCAGTGTGAGTGACATGGAAGGTCCTGCCATGTCAAGAAAATGACCTTACTGGAAATGAATTCTTCATAAATAAAAAAAGAATAAAGTTACAGCACTAACACATGCAGCCCTAAAATTCCCGGCAGGTTATAAGCAACAACACCAGAGTGGCACAACCAGTAATTGCTTTTGTCAGAAGTATCCGGATATCTAATATGACGAACAATAGGAATCCACGTCCAAACAATGATCCAGTCACAGCACAATTTGGCCATTTGTTTGGCTGGAAGCAAAGGCAAAAATGATATAGTCAGTAGGAAATAGGAAGTTATCACTTTGGCCTGGCTGCTCCCTGTATCTGCAGTCTTTTTGGCTTTAATGCATTCTGTCAGATTCTGAATTTCACAACCAAATGTCTCATTATGCCTTGGCACTCAGCCTCGGGTAAGTGTGCTGGCCTGGAATCAGCGGCAGTCAAATCAAGCCAGTGGAAATATACATTAAAGAACCTCAAACTACACAGCCTCCACCGCAAATTGTCAACACACTTATTTAAACAAGTGAAAACGCTGGAACAAGTCATCCACTTAACAAACGCTTACTGGTAAACATGACGTGATGCGCATTTCCTGCGGGGTGTTCATGTGGCTAAATATTTGCCTGTGTTGAAACAGCACTGTGTGGCATTTGCTGAGTAAGCGGTGTTAGGAGGTGTGAAATTTTTTTTAGATCTTTGTTTTTGTTAATGCATCAACATCACTCGCCTCGCAATTCGGAACACTTTCTCCATGTTCAATAACTTTTCTAAATCCACTCCCACATGCTATTTTTCATGGATCTGTTTGTGTTCGAGGAGCGAGAGAAATTTGCAGCCTTTGAGGCAGAGTGCTGCTTCACATCACAGGAGGTACAAGCGCACAGAAGCAACCCTTATGCTGAACCGCACTTATTTATAGAGATGTCGTCAAAATTAGCCATCTAACTAACCATCCGAGTAATGGATGAACCAATTTCACCTTATAATTCAAGCGGCATTTGGGCAGCAGTAGCCGGGGCTCTTCGGCTACACTCAAAAGCATTTCTTTCAACACAAATAAAAGAACCCTTACGAAGAGCAAAAGACTAGAAGCCGTCTCTCGATGGAAACATCTCTGCCGCTGAGCTATCAAATGTACAAAGGTGCCGGAAATTCAACAAAAGAAACAGAATTTTCCGTTTGTTGTGCTTTTTATTTTTGCAACTTCCACTAGACATTTTTTCATGTGCGTGCATTATGAGTTATTTGTGACCCGACATCGACAACTCAGTGTTCGGAATGACAGTAATTCAGCTTAATAATCAAACAATATGCATCGTGGGCAGCAGGGACAGTCCCACAGATAATTACACCAGAGTGAACATAATGTGTTACTACTCAAGCCACTTCATTAGCATTCTTTGGAGTGCTCACTGTCAAATGGGTTAGAATCATAGAGCACAGGCAACTTGCAAAGGTCAGCCTCACTAGCGTCTACTCACACTTGCTGGTGCCACAAACACCGCACAGCTGGGGAGTGGTGAGAGCAGCCTGTTGAGTCGGAGAGGAGGGTGATTCAAGCTGACAGGGGGGACATCATACACACGAGGGACAAGAGCTCACATAGTTGGGAGCTCGAGAGGCATCCTGGGGCCATCTGGGATAGTGGGAAAGCCATTATTCAAGCCAGAGAATCAAAGAGGATAAAAACAGCAGTGTAAACCAGACAATAGGGTAGTTATCAGCAGGTTAGGGGGAAAGACAGGATGGGAACATTGTTTACTCTTGGACTCTCTCACACATATAGGGCTGAAGTCAATATCAGCAGGGCAATTTTTAAAGCAAATTTGGTGAAGTTTGACTTAAAGTCTAGAAGGAGGTTGGGACAAAGTCAGGGCAAAGCCGTTTATATGAGGTTGAGGGCAAAACAGACGACAAGCTGCACATCCAAATCATCAAAGAACGCAGCTAATAATTTAAAGTAAGCTAAGTTGACTTTAGTGGCTGGGGTCTGACCAAAGATCTCCTAAATAGACATGAATTTTAGCAGCAAGGTTGCAGAGTTTCATATAGTTACAGAATTTGCCAAACAAGGTAATTGACCCTTAAACCAAACACAGGCTGGCTGTGAATGGCAACAGGTTGGATGTCTGCAAACATATGATTACATGTGGACAGGGGTTCAGTTTTATGCCCTGATTTGCTTTCTGGAGAGAACTTTTTGGTTTCACTTAAATATGAAGCTGCGGCCACCAGAATGTTTGCTTTGCGTAGCATAAACACTGGGAACAGAGCGTAACAGCTAGCTTGGTAGCCAGGTAACAAATTCCATTTACCA